TTTGGAGAGCAGAGCTGTGAATCTTGTGGACTTGCTGTAAAATCAGACATTTTTCACTTCTTTCCAAGCAACGTTGGTTTAAATTTCTGAAAATTCCGAGCTGAGTTTTCCATTCCTGTTGCACGTCAGTGTAATGGTAAAAGCGCTGGTTTTGTATTCTGCAGCTTTTTGTCCAAGCAGAATTATCTCTGCTTCAGAAAAATCAGTTTATCCATATTTTAAAAAGTGCATTCATGGATTTAGTGGGACAGAACTCAAGGAGCAGCTCAGGTACCAAGTAATGAGTGTTTGCCCCTCGTCCCTCCATCCTCAGGGAGACCTGGGAGCCATCGATGACAAGTATGACGTGGCCATTTCCTCGTCCTGTGGAGCCCTGGATCACATTGTTGTGGACACCATTGACACTGCCCAGGCCTGTGTGAACTTCCTGAAGGCTGGAGGGATTGGAGTTGCCACCTTTATAGCCCTGGACAAGGTCAGTCCCACCCTTGGGAAAACAAATTACTTCACTGTTAATTGCAGCCTAATTACATTTGTTTTAAAGCCTTAACATCCTATAGAATAACAGAATGACCTCAACATTTATCCCAAAGATTGATTCCTTGATTTCCTTTGTGGCTGTAGATGGCTGTGTGGGAAAAGAAAATGCAGAAAATCCCAACTCCTGAGAATATCCCACGGCTCTTTGACCTGGTGAAGGTGCAGGACCCCAAGGTTCGCTTGGCCTTCTACTTCGCTCTCAGGGACACTCTGGTGGCCAAAAACCTGGAAGAAGCCACCAGGATAGCATTCCAAAAGGAGAAAAGGTGGAGGGTGGTAACCCTGCAGGGACAAATCATCGAGGTGTCAGGTACTGCAGCCCCAACAGTGTCTCCATTGGAAGCACTCTGTGGGTGATATCGAAGGCCAAGAGCTTTGACCTCTTTTCATCCCTTTTTCTGTAGGAACCATGACTGGTGGGGGAGGAAAAGTCATGAAGGGCAGAATGGGCTCCTCAGTCGTGATGGATATCTCAGAAGAAGAGGTGAGTACATCATGGAAATGGAATTCCAGCAGAATTCCTTCCTTTGGGCAGTGAGCAGGAATCTGGGATGGAAGATAATTACAAAGGGTTACAAAGCCCAAATTCCCAGTGTTAGCAGAGGTTACAATGCTTCAAAGGGATTAAAGGGTTGTCACTGGCAGGGGCTGCCCAGGGAGTTTGGAGTCCCCATCCCTGGAGGTGGCACTCAGTGCTGTGGGCTGGGGACAAGGTGGTGACCATAGGCTGGACTCCGTGGTCCTGGAGGGCTTTTCCAGCCTCGGGGATTCTGGAATTCTGTCTTTGTTCACAGCCATTATTGAATTCAGTCTCACAGTGCTCCCTTTGATAGCTTAGACACCATTTTGGCAGAGCAGGATACAATTTGCTTTTCCTCCTGAATTCCATTTGGGTTTTAATCTGGAGCTGCTCCTCTTGTTTCTCACTGGCAGAGCTGATGTTCCCAGCACTCAGCCTCCCCAAGCTGAAGCTTTTACTGCACTTTCTCCTGTGTTTTAAGAGCTGTTGAGCACAGGCATGAGCCCTGGCTTGGTTTTCTCATGGTGACACCAGTAAATAATCATCTCATTCTGTGTAGATCAGCAAGATGGAATCCCAGCTGCAGAGGGATTCCCAAAGAGCTGTGCAGCGTGAGGAGGAGAAATCCCAACTTGAGGAAGCCATAAGGAAACTGCAACAGGACATTCAGGAAATGAGGAACACCTCTGAGAAATACACAGCCAGTATCCAGGTGAGAATCCCTGAGCATTTCCCAGCCCCACACAGCCCTGGCTGGTGGCCAGGAGTTTTCAAGGACAAAATTCCAGCCCAGTTTTGTGTTCTTTGCAGGGTTTTTCTGAACAAGAAATTAATCTGAAAAACCAAATCAAGGAACTCGAAGCCAACGTCGCTGCTGCTACTCCAGATAAAGCCAAGCAGAAGGAGTTGGAAAAAGTCCTTAGTGGTTATAAAAAAGGTACATTTTGTGGGGAGGGGATTAGAGATAAAAGTTGTAGTAATCTCTTTTAGTAAAAGAAGAAGGATTGAGTTTGGCTTTGTGCTTCAGTTCCTTGTCTTGGTTTGGTCTTCCTGTCCTGAGGTGTTTCTAGAGGTCAGAAAGTAAAACCCCTTTTCTTTGTAATTGCTCAAGTTCATGTTTCAGTCAAGCTAAAGGAAACGTGAAGTTCAGTATTTTGTTTCTTTGCTTAGATTTTTGTGGTTGTATCACACACCCATAGGGAAACTTAGTTTAATTAGGGGTAAGAAGTGTTAATGAAGAGTAATGATGTAAAAATCAAGTGAAGGTTTTTGCCAGGCTCTAAGCAGGCTCTGCCATGAGTCTATAAAAAAAATCCCTTTCTTTTGTATTCCCACATCCCTTTTGTGCAGTGATGCTGTTCAGCAGGGGCAGGAACTCCACAGTCACACCAGCTCCTGGGAAATGCTGGTGACCAGTTCTTAAAATTGAACTTTAGAGCATCTTCCCATGAATTAAATGCAACTTCTAATGCACCACCTCATGTATTTAAGTACTCTGTGTACATTAAGCTGAGCGTTTTTTATGGCAGGAGAGCTTTGGCAGAGCAGAAAGCAGTGGGTTCATTTTGATGTTTGTCACAGTTAAACTCATCATTTATCATGTGCACTTCTCAATGAAACAGAGCAGAGCTTCCATCTGCAGTCCCTCCCATCCCTTGATCCCTTCCAAGGTGCTGTCCATGAGCAGCCCAGGGCCCTCAGTCCCCTTTCCCTTGCACAGATTACCAGCGTGTGGCTGAGAAGGCTGGCAAGATGGAGGAGGAGGTGAAACGCCTGCACCAGCTCATCATGGACACCAACAACCAGAAACTGAAGGCTCAGCAGGACAAAATTGATAAGATTGACAAGGAAATGGATGAATGCTCCTCAGCCATCACCAAGGCTCAGGTGGCAGCCAGGACTGCAGACAGGTACTGCACTCACTCCGTGCCTCTGCTAAGGGGGGCTCAGGGAGGGAAAGGAAAGGCAAAGTTTGTCATTTCAAATTGTTTAAAAGTCACCCTTAATCAGCATTTCTCTAGTATTTGCCTGAATTGTTTCTCTTATATTGCCTAAAGTGCAATATTCAAGATAAAGTCCAAAATAGCACTCGATTGGATGTGCTGGGGCTGTTCACATCTGCTTTTATTAGATCTGTCAGGAAATAAAATGGATCTGTTTTTTATGGGATCTCACCAATCCATAGAGATTCCAAACTCTAAAAGAACAAATGAAGTCACTTAGTGAGGTCTGGCTGCTGAGGAAGACAACTTTGTTTTCCTTGGATCCTTCTGGAGCGAGGGAGTTGGTTCCTAAACCAGCACTTGCTCCTTGTTGTCAGTGACACTGTGGATTATTTCCTGTGCTCCTGGATTATTTCCTGTGCTCCTGGATTATTTTCTGTGCTCCTGGATTATTTCCTGTGCTGTTTGCCTCGTGTGAGGTACACAAAGATCCCTGTCCCTGAGCAGGAACCTGAAGAAATCCGAGGAGGCTCTGCAACGCATGGAGAAGGAGATGGAAGAAAATGAGAAGGAGATGAAAAAACTGACAGCAGAGCTGACAGCCCTGGAGGACAAAGCCACCGAGGTGATGAACGAGTGCAGGCAGGCTGAGGTGAGTCCTGGGAGCACTCTGGGCTCCAGGGAAATCAGGGAGAGGAGTCAAATCCTCCCTGTGTCCCACTGATGTCCCATTCTCTCTGCAGAGCAACCAGGCTGTGGTGTAAATTGTGTATTTTTATTTTTTATACTCACCTAGAAATTTATCCTGAGCCAGTTTAGGAAAAAAAACTTAAACCGGGTCTCCCCAAAGAAATTGCTGTGTTTAAAAGTTGCTTAAACATAAAATTTTTGCAGTTATGTGGGATTTTAGTTTCTTATCTCATTGAGAAAGGGAAGACCAGGATGGCTGAAATGCTTTCAAATAAATCTAAGATTTGATGTTTTTTCTCTAATTAGCTACAAATGAGTGTAGGACCTGTTTGATCCAGATCTGGAATGAAAACACAAACATTTTCTCAGTCATTCCAGAATTCAGGGATCAGTTATAAATCCAAAAATATTTATTTGTTTCCAACAATAGCCCTGAGTAAATTAAGTGAAAACAGACTTTTCACCCCAAAAATGGAGAACATTTTTGTAAGTGATGGATTAATGCCCTTTTTGGGGACAATTGCCATTTTTCTATTCAGGAAGCTTTGCCAGCAGTGCAGGAGGAGCAGAAGAAATTACTCCAGGAGATGAAAACTATTCAGGATGCTGAACATGCCCTTCAAAGTGAAGCTCTGAGCATCAAGCTGAAAATGGAACAAATCGACAGCCACATCTCCACCCACCAGGGAAAGGTTAAATACTGGCAAAAGGAGGTAGGAAAAAACTTCAATCAGGGAATTGTGGAATGGTTTGGGTTGGGAGGGACCTTAAAACTCATCCACATCCACCCTCAGGGACACATTCCACTATCCCAGGTTGCTCCAAGCCCTGACTTTGGGCACTTCCAGGGGCAGCCACAGCTCTTCTGTGGATCTCACAGGATGAACTCATCAACATCCCCTTAGAAAACAGAGGAGCTGGGAGAAAATTCCTCTTCAGATCACAGCTTCCTGCTGTATGTGCAGGAACACGATATTTATTCTCTTTTTCACATCCGATTTTAAAATTACCTGTGAGAAGAATCTTGGAGCGTTTGGAGATTAGAAGCTGTACTAACCTAGAAAACCCTCATTTTATAAACAGCACCACGTGTTAGTTAAAGCTTTCCACGCTCTGTGTTTTGCATTGCAGCTCTCCAAGTTATCCCTGCACGCCATCGAGGGCGAGGCCCCCGAGGAGCTGCGGCTGCTGAGCCAGGAGGAGCTGGAGGCGCTGCAGGAGCCCGATGTGCTCAGCAAGAAAATCGCGCTGCTGGAGGCGGAGCGCCACCAGCTCCGCCCCAACCTGGGAGCCATCGCCGAGTACAAGAAGAAGGTAAAAAAACTCCAGGGATCCTGGAATCCCTGCGGGAAAGAGCCCAGCCCCAGGAAAACGGGGCCTGTTCCTCCTCCTTCCCTTTGAAATCCTGGAATTTGCCTGTTCTTGTTGTTACCAGCTCGGCCTTGGGCAAGGTGAAAGTTGTTTTGTTTGCCACACCAGCAGTGTCAGGTGATAACTTCCCGAGTGATCTTGAAGTCTTTTCCTACCTAAATAATTCCATGATTCTCCTGGGAATGTTTATTTAATAGAGTCAAGTCTTCACAGCCAAGACAGACACACAATACCGGGATTTTCCCTCTTCACATCAGTAATATTGAACGATTCAACAGATAAAACATTTTTTATTTTTACACAGGTTATTTTTTCCCCCAGCAGCAGAGATGGGAAAAGAGAGACAACTGGAGGGGGTTTGTTTCAGCCAAGCTGGGGAAAAGGAATGTTCAAATGGTAGGAAAAGTGGTTTAAACTCTAAAGTGAGGAGGCAGCTGCTCTGAGTGCCCTTGGGTTTGGTTGTTTTTCCCTGCAGGAAGAGCTGTACCTGCAGCACGTGGGAGAGCTGGACAACATCACCAGCGAGAGGGACAAATTCAGAGAGGCCTTTGAAGAGCTCAGGAAACAGAGGCTGAATGAATTCATGGCAGGATTTAATGTCATCACCAACAAGCTGAAGGAGAACTACCAGATGCTCACGCTGGGAGGGGATGCTGAGCTGGAGCTTGTGGACAGTCTGGATCCCTTCTCAGAGGGAATCATGTTCAGGTTTTCAAAATACTTTCTATTCTATTATTTTTTAATCATCATAGTCCTTTTTTCGACCTGTTTTTAAAGTAAATGTTCATTGACCATCAGTGAACCAAAACAGGCTCAATGTGGGCAAATAGTGACAGAAACCACAACTTTTTAGCTCTGAGATTCATTTCTTTCTCCTGGACAAATCAGGAACTGAAGCAGTTGGAAAGCTTTGACCTCATTTCCCAGCACTTCTTAATTCCCAGGTCACTTCATTCTGCCTAGGGAACGATGGCAGTGTTCTGTCAGAAAGGCTCCCAGGATAAATTCATCATTAATTGGGAGTTGAGCTGGGAAAGGCAGTGAGCAGGAGGGTGAGGTGCTGCAGTTCCTGCAGGCACAGCCCTGTGTTACCCAGGCTGAGCTCAGGCAAAGATCAGAATTCCTCACAGACCCAGCTCTTGCTCTTGCTCTGTTCCAGTGTCCGGCCTCCCAAGAAAAGCTGGAAGAAAATCTTCAACCTGTCAGGAGGAGAGAAGACCCTGAGCTCCCTGGCCCTGGTGTTTGCCCTTCACCACTACAAACCCACCCCCCTGTATTTCATGGATGAGATCGACGCTGCCCTCGACTTCAAAAACGTCTCCATCGTGGCATTTTACATCTATGTAAGTTCCTCTTCCTGCCATGTTCCCTCCTCCCCCAGAAGGGACAATCCGAGGTGGATTTCAGCTCTGGGATGCTGCAGTTTCAGTGCTCCTGGGACACACAGACACCTCCCAAAAGCATCAGCTCTTGTCAGAATACACAACTGCAGTTCTTACTCCAACCTCGTGATTTCCCGAGCTTCCTTGGATTTATACTTCCATGGCATTCCCATCAGTGTCTTTGATCTGTATCTTAATTAGTACTAATTAATTTTTTCACACCTTTAAAACTTCTACCCTCACCATATTTAATCAAAGCAAACCTCTTACACAGCTCCAGTTCAGGTAATTAAACATTAAATATTCAGAGTTTTTGAAAACGGGTGGCAAAGGTTAGGAGCAGCTACTTCAGATTAGGGAAACACTTGGAAGTTCCCTGCCTGCAGCTGCAGTTTTAAACTTGGCTTTGTGTGCCACACCAGCACAGAGGGAATTTTGGGAATGCTAGGCACTAACACAAATCACTTCTGTTTCAGGAACAAACCAAAAACGCCCAGTTCATCATCATCTCCCTGAGGAACAACATGTTTGAGATTGCAGACAGATTAATTGGGATTTATAAAACCCAGAACACCACCAAAAGTGTGGCCACCAACCCCAAAATCCTGGCTGTGAAAGGACTGGAGGAAATTGCCCTCCCTGGGTGCAGTGCAGCCCAAAAATAGGGAGGAAGCAACTTCCAGCCCCATGGCTGCTGTTCACTTTTATCTGCTCTCATTTTGTATTGTGGACTTTGTTTTGTAAATTTTGAATAAATTTTGTAAAATATTATATTAATATAAACCCAGCCTCAAAAAATTCTACTTTTTGAATGTCACGTAAAAATTGAGAAAAGGGAGATGTAAATTGATGAAAATAAAGAGTGCACTGGGTTTACCAGGGGGTAGGGGCAGCATCAAAGACACAGACACCAATTTAAGGAATCAATGTAATTTACTAAAATGCAAAACTGCCAAGAATTACAGGAGAAGCTCAGCAAGGCACCTGATCATTTACAAAGAATTCCAGGAGGAGAAGCTCAGCCATTCACCTGATCTTTGGCAGAGAATTCCAGGAGGATGTCAAAGGCCAAATTCTGCAGCTGTGGATCAAAGCAAATCTCACCTCTCCTCACCTGAAGTGGATCAGAACTTTAGTCCAGAGGAAATCCATGCAATGCACAAAAAGAAGAATACAGGAACAGAACAAGTGTAGAGCTTTAACAGTCCAGATTTTGAGTAGAAATTAAAAATAATGCTGGACTGCTGCACAAGGTTTCCAATCTAACCCAAGCAGTCAGGAGAATTCTCCTGCACAACTCCAGGGCCAGGGCAGAAGTGCAGCACAGCTCTCGTGCTTTGTCCTGCAGGGGGATGCAGGAATCCTCATAAATCCGCAGCAGGAATTTCCAGAGGAGCAGGGATGGCTCCAGTTGAGATTTCCTTGTGCCAAAACAACACCAGCAAGCCCAGGATGAGCACGGGAAGGTTCAGGTGAAGCATCCCAGAGTGCAGATGCTGCTGTTGGCTCTTGGGCCTTTGCCAGCCAGGCGTAGCTCTGGGGCTCTGGTGGAGCTGCCCGATTTCAGTTCTAGGCGTGTCCTGCAGCACCTTCCCCGTGCTCGGCTCCATCTGCACGGCCTCGGGCTCTGGGAGCTGCTCTGCCTGAGAGCCTGGAGCCGCAGCTGAGCCCCTGCAGCTGCTCCGGGAAAAGCAGCGGGGACTCCTCCTCCTGAACCGCTGAGTGCAGCTCCTTTAACTCATTCTCTTCCAGCTTCAGGTTCTCCACCTCCTCCGTGAGGGGATCGTATTTCTCTGAAATGCGGCTCTCGAGTTTATCCAGAACGCTCAGCAGAGCTGCTTGTTTCTGCTCCAAGGCATCACCAAATTCCTTAAAACTGCAGCACGGCTTCCCTGTGTCGCTCTGGCACCGGGCCCTGTGCTGCTGCAGCCTCTCGGAGCGGGATGGATCCGTCAGCTCCTCCAGGAGCCGGCCCGAAGCCTCCCGGCTCTCATCGATGGCGACACCGCGCACCAGGCGCCGCTCGTGCAGGCAGTAAATGTTCAGCGTTTGCCGGGGGTGTGCCCTGCACGTCCCCTCCTCCTCCTCCTCCTCCTTCTCGTCCTCTCAAGGCTCTGGCACAGAAAGTCCAGCTCAGCAGCCCTCACAGACAACACCACACCTGGAATTACTCCCGGGTTACTTCGAGCACGAAACTGAAAATTAACTTTCATTATCCCCCTTCTGTCTTTCGATTCCATTGCCAAGGTTAACTCTCCATCCCTTACACCTCTGCCAAAGCTTCTGCCCATGAGCTTTCCCCGGTATTTACCGCTCAGTCCCGGGTGGTGGGGGGCGAGGAGCACACCTGGACCTGTCCCTGCAGCTCCGACACCGGGCATCGATGGGCGAGGAGCTGTGAAAAGGGATCCGCACCCGCACCCGGCCGACTCACAGCGATGGCAACGAGCTCAAACACCGGAAAAGCAGCCCCGGGCCCCGCAGTGCGGGACCCTCAGCGCCCGCCTGGGCCCGCCCGAGGAGCTCCGAGCCCGTTCCGAAGAGCTCCGCTCGCCGACGGAGCCGCTCCGAGCCCGTCCCGAGGAGCTCCGCTCGCCGACGGAGCCGCTCCGAGCCCTTCCGGGGAGCTCCGCCCGCCGATGGAGCCGCAGCCCTCGAATGCCAATGGCGGGAGAGGGGCGGGAACGGGCGGAGCTGAGGGAGGGGATGGAGCCGAGGGAGGGAAGGGAGAGAGAGCAGCGATGGAACCGAGGGCAGGGAACGAGGGAGGGCAGGGATGGAGGGAGGGCAGGGAACGAGGGAGGGCAGGGATGGAGGGAGGGCAGGGCCGGGACCGCCGCCGGGCCCCGCAGGGTCCCTCCCGGGGCCGGCAGAGCCCCTCCATGGGGGCCAGGGAATCGTGTGGGGCCGGGAATGGAGGGATGGACAGAGGGATGGATGGATGGATGGATGGATGGATGGATGGATGGATGGATGGATGGATGGATGGATGGATGGATGGATGGATGGATTATGGATGATGAATTATGGATGGAGCAGCAGGGATGAGGCCGCTCCCTGCACAGGAAGGACACCGAGGGACAGCCGTGCTCCATCCCCTCTCTGCATCCAGCGTCTCAACCTCATTTCCACAATCCGCGGAAAAATTCACCCTGAAGGTGAAAAATGGGAGACACGGAACCTTCTCCCTGCTTCTCTCTCCTGACCACGGAAATTTAAATGATTTCATCTTTCTCTGAAGCTGCCGCAGACAGCTGAGAGGATTTTCACGTCCTGCCAGGAGCCCGGGCATGGCTCCCGCTGCCAGAGGGAAGGGCTGGGTGGGATTTGGGGAAGGAATTCGGCCCTGGGAGCGTGGGCAGGCCCAGAGCAGCAGCCACCGAAGGAATTTCTCATATCCTACATTATTCTCTATTCAGTTACAGCTCACTGAAGTTACTCTCGTTAATTTTGTTATAAAATTCATCTCAATGAGAAACGAAACTCGTTCAGTGTTGAGATGTAAATCATAATCATTCAAAACTTTCCTAAACACCTTCAAACCGCCGTGTAGAGAATATTAAACAAATATCTGGGAAACAGCTAGAATTACACTTCAAATAATAAAACCCCTCAAGCTCTAATCACAAATTACCCCACACATCAGAAAAATGTTAAGGGGAAAACTACAGGAGCACAAAATAAGGGAGCTTTTGATAATAATTCACAAAATATTGAGAGTATTGTAACAGAGACTAAAACCAGATCTTGGCTTTCATCTATTTTATGTACTTAAATTAAGAATTCAAGATGAAGCAGCATTTCAAGTGCAAACTGCCATTCCAGCAATTAAATCTGTGATAAACTCATGACCTGTATTGCTGATACTGACCCTCACCTGCCTTTCCATAAATGACAAAACTTCTGGAACACATTTACCAATAGCTGGCATTTCAAGTTTCCCAAATTTCCTAGCAAGAGCAGCTTTTACTGCTTTATAAAAATTTGAAATCGAAAGGATTGACATTTTAATGACAACTTAAGGAAAAGTTTTCCTCAGCTTTGGGATACCAGCAGGATAAATCCAGGATTTCTAATGGACTGACAAGCAAAAATGGGAATTATTTGATGAAAATGAAGTTTCCAGCCACTTTTCTGTGGATACTGCAGCAATTTTAATTTTCCCAATGATTTCTGTGTGTCCCCCGAGTTTCACTGGAGCAGTAGCTACAACTTACCCCGAGTGAGTTTGTAAACTTGACACGTTTGCAGCTACTAAGTTTCCTCTCACCAATATTTGATCCAGATGCAGAATTCCTCTAATTGTTTCCAGCCTCAGGAGCAGCTTTTCCTGCCAGGAATTTGGTGACACGCAGAGCTGAGGAAATATTTACAGTTAAAAGTGGCAAAAAAGTCTCTTGAGTTTGAATGTGGAGAAATCCTGAAGTTATGAAGTGATTCTGCCAGGGTTTCATTTTCCTTGGAATCGTTTTAATTTGTTCATTTTCTGACTGTTCTATGAAGAAATGAGGATTTTTCCCACTCCCAAAGCTGAAATTCACAATTTCCTGGGAAGGAAGATGGGATGAGATGTGTCCAGGGAATGCTGAAAAGTTTCACAGCCAGGGAGAATTCTGCTCCCAGCAGAGAAAAGATCAATTTCTCTCAAGAAACCCCTTCCCACTCAGCAGATTCTACTTCCCAAATCCTAAAATTCCAGGCTAGCAATTTTTTTTTTCCTTAAAATAAAAATTCCCACCTGGCACAGCTGATTAGTGGATTAATTTTTTGTCCTCTTACTATTTTAAATTTTTTTCTGTTTGCTATCCTTAACTCAGAGGAAAAGATAATTTTTCTCCTCCAAAATACAGAATATTTTAATATAAATATGGATACATCACCCACACTCAGCGAGGCAATTCCCAAATTATTTCTTGTTTGTATCCCAAGATTCCCGACCAAATCCCCCTTTCCCCGACGACGTAATCGACGGCATCACCTCAAAATGCAAATTTTGGGAAAAAAAAATAAAAATAAAAAAAAAAAGGCATCGCACGAAGCTCCTGGAGAGCTGCAGTGGTGCCACCCTGTGGAAGCTGGAATATTTCAGATTCCTGGATTTTGCTAAATAACATTAACAGGAGCTGCTGTGAAGTAAGGGAAGAGAATTTCCCTGTTAAAAACCCACCCCAAACCCACCAAAAAAAAAAAAAAAAAAAAAAAAAAAAAAATGAAAAAAAAAAAAAAAAAAAAATTAAATTCACAGGAGTATGCGGGAAGAGCAGCAGCTCAAGGGAATTTTCTGGAGTTGGATTGTACCCGATTGTACCCAGAAAGGCATTTTTTGACATTAAATGCAGAGTTTTGGTGCTACTTTTTTAGAAAAATCAGAATTTGCCACAAATACCTGTTCTCCTCTCGCCCCAAGGAGAAAGTTTGTGAAATAGCAATTTTCTATGGAACACCCTCATAAAGGTGTTTGAGGGGGGAAATTTTAATTTACTGGTTAGAATTTTCCCATAAAAAGGATTTCATTTCCCTCTTCCACGGATTCCCTGGACCCAAGAAAACAGCCCTGATTTATTTACTGAATACACAAAGGTAAATTAAATTAAATTGAAATAAAATTGTTATTTTTTTTTAAACACTTATAGCAAAATAACTCCACGCTTCCAGCCTGCAACACACACAAACATTGAACAGGTAAAAACCTCAACCCAAAACCTTTAAAAGTCACTTTCTCCAAATAATCTCTGTGTTTTATGAGAAAAAAATGTGAATATTCTAGAAAGAACCAGCCAGAGCAGCAGAGTTGCAAGTTTTAATGTTTATTTCCCCAAGACAGCCTAGCCTGCACTCTACTTGGATAAATTCACAAGCTAGTTTTCTGCTGCTTCTAGTTTTAAACTTTTAACCATGTTTCTGATGACAAGGAATGCTGCAAAAATACTCTAGTCCAACAAAGAGTTATGATCACAAAATAATCTTTATCCATTCTACAGTGTCTCAGAATTACCAGCTGATTTTGAAAACACAAGGTAGATATAGATGCTAATGGTGGCTAACCTGGGATGTTTTTTATTATAGCAAACTGTTGTTCATGCAACACTTGTGCTCAAAGGGGAAGGCACAGCATTTCCTACAATGAGCCACCTTATCAAGAGTTCAGTTTGTACAAATTTGTAACATCACCTTGAATTTAGTGTGCACGACCTCAAAACTGAGGCATTCCTCCAATTATAAAAACACTTGCATCCTTTTTGTGCAAGTTTTAAAAATACAAAGTTTTTTTTTCTTTTTTTTTCTTTTTTTTTTCTCTCTAAAGTGGCTCAAAATAGATTGTTCATGGCTGCCTACATCTAAGATAAAAAGAGTCTAAAACAATTGGATTAGGCATATTAAAGGTGTTCAAACCATGACTTGATTTGTACATCTATTCACACCTCTTTTTTTTTTTTTTTCGCTCTTTATTCAGCAGTACATATGCACCAAATTTCATTTTTAGACGTTTCCATATCATTTTCATAGAAAACAAAGTTTGAAAACAAGTAACATTGAAACACAGCACGGTATCCTACCACAACAGAAACATTTTGGTTACAGGACTCAACGAAATCTAAAAATGAACTATGCTGGAGATTACCACATGCAAAGGTCTTCATGTTATCTTTGAAAATGAAAAGGATGAGGTTTTATTACCACATTTTACTGCTCTCTACTATTATGGCAACTTGTGTACTGCAACACAGTCTAGTTTGAAGGGAAATGGATGATTTTTTTTGTTGTTGTTGTTGTTGTTTTGTTTTGCTTGTTTGTTTTTCCATGCAAAAAAATCTACAAATTAGTTTTGATGATATGGAAAAGCTTTTCATAACATCAAACATTCATCTGGTGCAAATGCACAGGGAAGCCTTCCTGAAATTCTGACTTTACAAACAACTAAAGAAGCTGTAACAGGAAAA